AGCAGATTGCCCAGTTTTGCTAGCAAGGAGTGGCTGATGGGTTTGAACCACCAGCCTTCTGGTTAGCAGTCAAATGCCTTAGGCATTACGCCACCAGAGCTCCTGTTACTCCCATTACTGATGCCTTTTTCTTTTGAGGTAAACCAAACCCAAACAAAACCTACTGCCATCAAGTTGATTCCAACTCATTGAAGGAGGCCCCTTTAAATCATTTAAAACTGAGTAGCTCATGTGTCTATCAAAAAAATTATACTTTTTCCCTGACCTTGATGTTACCAGGGGCCCGTTGAGCTTGATCGCACGCTTTGCTCCCAGTCCCATCACTCTGATGCTTCTGGCTCCTGGGTGGGGTTCAGGGAAACAGGAGGGTGACGTCTTTTTTTTGCCTTCGACTTTCCCTTGCTGCGTTCCTGTCTGGCAGCCTCCTGTCCGTCAGGGCACTCTCTCTTCTGGCACCCAGCTGCTGGCACCAAGCACACTGAGCTCCTCTGAGCCAGGGCTGTTCCCACGCAGCTGGCCCCCCTTTCTTCCCTTAACTGAGGGCTGCTCCTAACAGCCATCGTTGAGCTTTCATTTTTCACGCTGCTTTTCTCTCTTGTGTCTGCTCTTGGTTCATATAAACTTTGAAGGCACTATCTACTAGTCGCAGAATTCCTATTCCCACTCCACCTTCTGCCTTTTGAAGTTTCTTTCTAACATCAAGAGTGCTCTATTCAATAAAAATGATATTAATCATTCATGCTTTGTCAGGGCTTTCAGGATCTGGGTCAGTATGTTACCTGAAAGCGGTGTCAACTCTTCCCCGAACCACTGAGAGATCTTCCTCTGGCTTTTGCTTCACATTAGAAATTTTATTTCAGTTTCTCTCTTTGGGGACACCCTTGCCCAGCCCAGCTAGTAGACAGGTCCAGTAATGAACCAGGAACCCAGATCCCTCAGGAGTATTTGGGTCCCCTGCGGGCTCTTCTGTAGGGAAGGCTTTCTCAGCGGCTCAGTACCTAAGTGTTGGTAGGCCCCCAGGTGGTGAAGGTCATCTGCCTCCTCTTTGGCATTTTCAAACACCATTATTCTTTCAAGGTGAGCAAGATGTTGCAGAGTGCCTGACAGGCTGCCCACGTGGGGTTATGGGTCCTATAATGGAAGCAAAGAGGTCATGCATTCATTTAGGTCCTCCTGATAGGAGTGTGTGGTGGTTAACTTTGTGTGTCAGCTTGGCTGGGCCCGGTTGAGTGGCTGGGCAGCTGAATGTAGTTATTCCCCATGGTGAGATTGGTAATTTACTCCACAGTGGAATCTATTGGAGCAGCTCAGTAGCTGCTGTGGGTATGTGGTCTGCTTCCTGCATGTAAGAAACAGCTTTGGGAATGGTCTCTAGCCTATGGCACACTTGGACCCTGCATGTAGCCATGTCGTTGTTCAGCAGCATGCCATACTCTGCCGACCTTGGGACTTTCAATGGACTTGGATGAATGGCCTGCCGTGTGGTTTGGTGACATCGGGACTGTGTCTTTTCACTTGTCGACCTTGGGCTTGTCAGCCTCAGCAGCCAGCAGCTGTCTGAGTGAAGAAAACCCTCTAGCTCCAGTGGGCTGGGAGCAGGAGGCAGAGCTGAAGCCCAAGACTGAGGGGCTTTCACCCAGCGCCTAGAGCTGGCACTTTGAACTAGAACTTAAAGCCTCCAAACTGTAAGAGAATAAACTCCTGTTTGTTCAAGCCATCCCATTTGTGGTTTATTCCTGTCAGAGTGGCACTAGGGAACCATAACAGAGGCCAAATTCTTTTCCCAATTGAATAGATTAGAGTGGAAAAAGGGGTATGCACCCAAACCATTCCAAGCGTGGATGCCTGGGTCTTTGGCATTCAGAGCTGCGACCTGCTAGAGGGGGACCATTCCCTATCTTCCCCTAGTCCGAATCCAGGACCACTATGGACATGAGAAGGGGTGAGGGCCTCAGGTTGCGGGGGGCTGCTAGGAGCAGACGAACGCTCAGCAGCAGAGGAGGGAGCTATTTTTAGCAGGTGGGGGGCTCCTGTCCAGCCTGAAGGTCTGCCTCGTCTGGTTCCGTCTCCGAAATCCCCCTCTTGCCCCGTGGAGAAAAGTCGTACATTCTCTTTGTAAATCCTTACTGTGCCACAAGGTCATAAGAGCCTCTACATACATTTTTAATCCCATTTTCCCTCCTGTGTACAAAACAAGTGAAGCTGTAAAACAGTATTATAATTCAGTGAGTTGTTTTCAGGACATTTCTTGCTATCTTTCAGAACATACTGGGGCCAAGCAGTATTACACAAAAACTTCATTTTACATTTTTTCATAGGATCAGATCCAAAATAAGACCAACTTTTCAAAATACCTCTTGTTATTGCTGTTGTTGTTGTTAGGTGCCATTGAGTCACCTCCGACTCACAGTGACCCTGTGTACAACAGAACAAAACCCTGCCCAGTCCTGTGCCAGCCTCCCGATCCCTCCTAGACCTGAGCCCATCGTGGTAGCCACTGTGTCAGTCCACCTTGTTGAGGGCTTTCCCCTTTTTCATCGACCCTCCACTCTACCAAGCATGATATTCTTTTCCAGGGAATGAATTGTACTTTCTACCAATGACCAAAGTACATTCTCACTACCAAGAAGCATTTGGGCTGCACCTCTTCCAGGACAGATCTGTCAGTCCTTTTAGCAGTCCATGGTACTGTCAGCATTCTTCCCCAACACCACAACTCAAAAACATCAACTCTTCTTTGGGCTTCCTTATTCATTGTCCAGCTCTCACATGCATAAGAGGTGACTGAAAATACCATGGCTTGGATTACCTGCACCTTAGTCTTCAAGGAGACATCTTTGCTCTTCAGCACTTGAAAGAGGTCTTTTGCAGCAGATTTGCCCAATGCAATAAGTCATCTGATGTCTTATTTTTAAAATTCTGCTTTAAGTGCAAATTTACAGAGCAGAGTTTGTTTTACATTCAACATTTCATGTACATTTAGTTTCACTCCCCATTTACCATCCCCAGCCCTAACCCAGTCTCCTCCCCTCCCTGCACAGTAACCCCCACGCCCCTCATAGTTATGCTCTCCTGTGTGTCCTGCATTTCCTCCATGTGAATGTTGTCCCTCTGCTGCCCTGTGGTCGATTTCTCCAAGGGATGCATTTCCATAGAGTATGTGGGTGTGTCACCCTGGGTTGAGTGGTCTGCGTGTATGTCTTGTTTACTATTGGGCTGAGAGCCAGCCCCTAGGAGTGATTTTTATTACAGGCCCAGAACGTATCCCAGGGCCATAGTAATAGGGGTCTCACCAGATTCCATCTGACCAGTAATTCTGGTCATCATTGTGTTTTTGGATTTTGTTCCACGTTTTTCCTCCCACTCTATCAGGATCTCCAGTTTTGATCCTTTCCTGAGTAGTTGGCACTGGTAGCCAGGCACCATCTAGTTCTTCTGGTCTCGAGGGCCATCATGTTCTAGGGCTGATTGCTTCCAAATGCCCTTGGGTTTTTTGCACTCTTCTTTGCTTCT